TACCGCTCGGTCCCACCTATCGCATAAGTTCAGGGTATTACTGTATATATATTATTTAGTATATATTGTTTGAATGATCTGCTATTAAAAATTATGCTGTACTAAAATTTGTTGCAGAAAAAAATTGCTTGCCAAACCCAAAACTGCCAAGTGCATACAAAATACCATTCGTAAAGGACACTTCTAAATAACAAACACCTTTAATTAACCTTTGTACAGAGGGTTAGTCAGATATAGTGGAGAATAAACATGGGAAATTTTTAAAGATTTTTTTCCACGTTTTTCTTGTTACTGTTTTGGAAAAATTTTTTTAAACAGTTATGTCTAGTAAAGAAAAATTTTTTTTACTGTCACGTAATTCCTTTTTTATGTGAATTTTTTTCACAGTAGTTTTTGGCTAGTTTTCAGTGATATCTGCAAAATTCTTTTGCAGATACACATGTTGTTCTCCAGTGCCATGTGATCACCCTTGACAGGTATATCCATTGATCACTGCAGAAGAGTTAACAATCATTTTAATATTTTTGACGCAAATAAATGACTTATTTTTATTGCCTAGTATGTAATGATTTACACTGCTGAGAAACATTAAACATCGAAATAAGGACAAACTTGTCACTCCTGGTCAATGTCCATCACAAAACTTTTATGGGAACGAAATTAAAGAGTTTTCAATGGTTTATGAGCTTAAATTACATTTAACACCTAAAGTAATATACAGTATATTTTAAACCATTTTAGAGTATAAAAATATAAGTTTAATGAAGTAATAGAATATATATATAATTATAACCTATTCTATTACTTTTAGATTATTTTATGTAAATTTCACTAATTTTATTGAAATTAATCCAAATCAGAGTTCAATTAGCAATTGTTGCTAGTGGTAATCAATGGTAAAAATTGGACTTCTACATTGTCATGACATCTGGTAGATACTCGAGTAAGCTCAACCACTTTGCCAATGTCCTTGAATAGAGAGTGGTATTGCCTGTATTCTTACACCATGCTTCTGACTTTAAATCAGTGGTTCCCAAAGTGGGTGCTATCACCCCTTTGGGTTGTAAGTAAATCTAGGAGGGTGAAAAGAAGCAAGTAGGTGGCAGGGAATGCTAAAGGCAAGGTACTGAATAATGACCATAGGCAAAGGTTAGTGACACTGACAATCCTTCCCTTTCTTCTTTTAAAATGGATAAGAAGAAACATTGTGTTTAATTGTTTCCAGATGTTGACAATAATATACTGTACAGTAAGGACACACAGTGTGAGGTTCATAGAAAAGTTTTCCTAAGAATATTTCCAAACCTTTCTCACACAAGGGAAAATGTGTTAGGGCGTGTTCGGGTACAGTGGGCATTGAGTGTAACTTTATGGAACCGAGGGGGCGGTGACTTGAAAAAGTTTGGGAATCACTGCTTTAAACGTTTATTAATTTTAAACTTACATATTCAATCAAAATTTTCTCCAAAACATTAATACATTTTTCCCAATGCAATAGAAATGCATTAACACCAATTTGAGAGCTATCATGAGAATGAGAAGCCAAAAAGTCATTAGGTACTTTTTATTGCACCCTCTTCCTTGAAGACTTTCCTTGCCAAAAAACTGTCCAAATGTATAAAAAAGTGACAGTCTGTTAAAGAATAAGATTATGGGAAAGAATTTCATTTCAATACTTTCATTTTTGTGACAAATAATTAAACAGCAGCAGACCTCCAAATGATGCTCCTTATCTCTCTCATTAAGTTCATGTGGTACCCATTTGTTGAGCTTCTTAACTTTCCCTAACATGTTTAGAGGTTGAGAAATGGTTGATTAATGTTCAGTGTATTCAACCTTTCTATGATTTCCTGGACAGTCAGGTGATGTTCTGATTCAATGATGTTCTTCAATTCTGATTTCTGAGATTTGTATTCCCAGAATGAAATTTTTTGAACTAATGCCTGGTGGTCTGCTCACTCATAGAATCTTCACCAAAAGTTTTATTGGTATTTCGGATTGCTTTGGCTGCATTATGTCCCTGCTTATACTCATAAAAAAAAAATTATTCAATTTCCTTTTTTCCATGCTGTCAGGAAAAGTACTCTTAAACATGTAAAAAACAATATAAATGAGAATACAGTAGAGTCATTTATCCGAATCAATTGGGGACTGGGATTGTTCAGATAACTGATTATGTATGAAAAGATATATTAACCTATCCCATGTTGAAATTTTTCTCCGTTGCATGTCACTTTGCATTGAATTTTCAATGTTAAAAGCCTAACGTAATTTTTTTAAAATAATTGTGGCTATTGTATCGTTAAAAATTATTTCTTCATTTTGTACAAACAAAATAAATATATTGAAAAATATAAAAACAAAAAAAAAATTATACTTTAGAAGTTAATCTAGTATCAAAATCAGTCAATTCAACACGACAGTCCAACTGGAATGCTTTCGGTTAACCGACGTTTCGGTTGATTGGCTTTCAGATAAACAACCCTCTACTGTATAAATAACATTTTTAAATTCACATATTATATGTGTTCTTCCAATTCTTCCAATTATTTATACAAAAATTACCTTGTGCCATTTCAATATCTGTTGTCTTATTAGTACTAACAAAATTAAGTTAATTAAAGCTAATTTATAGTATTCAAACACACAGTACTGTTCACATGGAAAAATTTGTACAAGGCTGGAAAGTTTAAATTTTAAAAAATGGCCATTTCATTTGCAACGACCCAATAAATAGCTCTTACAGCAATCTTTAGTTGAATTATTTCAATAGATTTTTGTAATAAAAATAATTCATTCAAATTTATATGTAATAATGAAATAAAAATATCTTACAAAAAAGAAATATTGTACAACTGAAAAGATAATTTTAAAAAATATTAAAAATGATAAATTTGATAAAATAGTTTTCATAGTTAACACCAAAGAGATTACAATGAGAATGTGATATATGTTGATACATATATTAATGGCAGACGTTACAACTAATATCAAATGGTCAAAAAAATTTGAATATTGTATTTCCTCAATTCTAAGACAGCATGAATTTGAGATCAAATCTTAAGATTTCTTAAATCTTAACATAATGGAAGGAAAAATTTTTAAATAACTAATTTTATTTATTTTTTTTAAGCAAAAAGTTAGAAAAACAATATAAATGCTATGAAATATGTTTGTTAGCTATATATCTATACTCTGCATAAATGATAACTTTTCTTATATTACCATATAATAAATTCATATAATCTAATAACATGAATTTTAAATATTAAAAAGGAGTTTAAACAATCATTATAAGTAAAATTCATCTGAACTAATGAGACTATTTGAACAGTAGAACCAAAAACAAAAGTAATATTGGCACATTATTGGTGCACATAGTCTATTAGTAATGACTGCTGATTGTTGTTTTATATCTGTTTCAGGCTTGCCTGCTTAAAGTACTTTAAGATTAAATTAATTAACAGAGTTATTATTTACACACAAGAAATGTTAAAAGTTCTTTAGGTTAACAGTGATATTTTAAAGTACTTTAAGGAATGCAAGTAAAGGAAGAATTGGTAATATAGCAAACTTTTATAATGTAAAGTAAAACCCTAAAACTGAATTATAAATAAGTATAATTTTCAGTTATTAATTCATATAAACAAAGATTGATATTTTCACTCTGAAATATCTTTTTTTATTTTACTTATTTATTTATACAAAAATTACCTTATGCCATTTCAATATCTGTTGTCTTATTAGTGGTTCCCAAAGTGGGTGCTATCACCCCTTTGGGTTGTAAGTAAATCTAGGAGGGTGAAAAGAAGCAAGTAGGTGGCAGGGTACTCAATGGTAACTATAGGCAAAGGTTAGTGACACTGACAATCCTTCCCTTTCTTCTTTTAAAATGGATAAGAAGAAACATTGTGTTTAATTGTTTCCAGATGTTGACAATAATANTAATTTTCAGTTATTAATTCATATAAACAAAGATTGATATTTTCACTCTGAAATATCTTTTTTTATTTTACTTATTTATTTATACAAAAATTACCTTATGCCATTTCAATATCTGTTGTCTTATTAGTACTAACAAACTTAAATTAATTAAAGCTAATTTATATTATTCATGTAAACATTTAACAAATCAAAATGGTTAAATATTTCTTACATTTTTCACCAAATGTCAAATACTAACAATCATTCTGAAATTATATATGAACCCCAATATTAAAGTAATTTATCACTTAATGTAAAGTGATTAATTTTTATTTTCCTGTGTCTGAAACAAATATTAAACTGCAAATATAAGACACCATCAATTACAAAATACATCTCTGTGTAGGATAAGTAAAAATGGATATAAAAGTGCATCTGAGGAAATAGAGTATTGTATAATGAATTCAATATTTGATTATAAAAATATAACTGCTTATAAATATTCATAATGTTTTACTCATCAAGATGAAAGTATGAGAGATCTAATAAATTCAAAATAATCCAGAATTTCTTATAAAATATAATAGTTTTATAATCATAACTTGAATTCTATAGATTCTAGGCTTATGACAGTATAAAGAATTAGTTTACCATTCTACAATTAATCAAAGATGCTTAAAATATTTGATAAATATTTTTAACACAAAATATCTCAAGATCATTAATAATACAGGTAGGATCTAAAAATATAATAATCAAAGTTTATTTTTAAAACTGCAGTAATGTCCTATTTCATAGTTTATAATAAATATTCCTTATATCTGGTTAAGTTTTGCAAACCAAGTGCATTTTCTGTTAAGTGAAACAAATAATAATCAAGCATGCAGAATTACCATTGATATTAATCAGGTCCTCACAAAAGTAAGTATTTCATAGATCATAAAGTTTGTAAAACCAGTATATTTAATCTGTTACATATTCATAAAGTTAATATCTTTTTATACAAATTTGGAAACAAAATCCATAAAGAATGCACTTTATTGCATTTTTCACCCTTTTTTTTTCCTTAAACTTACCAACATTAGTAGTAGAAGTCTCAGTAGTGCTAGAATCTTGCCCAACGTCAGTCTGCATTATTTCTGGTTCTTCTTCAACTGCTATAAAGAAAATAATAATAAAAAATAAAAATATTTTTTCGACATTTAAACATCAAATTTAATTTATAGACAACTTAAAATTATTGTTTAGATGGATCAGTGTTTTAATATTCCTGTCGTACCTGTCTGTTTCTTATAATAGTCCATCCATGCTTTATAGTAATCAGCATACATAGCATTTGTATGTTCATTTTGTTCCATCTTCTATTACACTATGATGTTATGAATGTAAAACAGTCAGAAGTTCCCACCTTTATAGGATGACACTTTGTCCTTCTTTACTATTATATTGTAACAAAAGGAATCATTGGACTCCATAGATAAAATTGATCATTTTATCTCTTCAATGCACAAATCAATATGAAATTTAAACTCAAATCAAATTACCAACTAACTATATTTCAGATATATTGATTTTATTTAATAAATCATTTTAAATTTTAAATTTATTTCTAACATTTTAATTAATTATTCTTTTAATTAGTTGATAGCCATAATTTACACTATCACATATTAATTCACAACTTTACAATAAAAACTTATAAGTAGAATTTTCAGTTTATTTTATGTAAATATAAGGATTGAATATATCAATCTGAAATGTTTCTTTTTTATTTACTTGTAAAAGCTGCCTTGTGCCATTTCAATATATAAATAAATACTTGCTGTCTTCTTGGTGACTAAGCTAAATTATTTAAAGATAACTTATGTTATTCATAATATGCATAAAAATCCAAACTGCATAAATGAGTCATAATAAAATTTATGTAACAAAACATATTTCACTATTAAGTTCATTATTAATATCTAAATTAAAATGTGATCCAGAAATATTTAATTTTAAAAACAATGTGGAAGAAAATAAAATCAGTCAATTCAGAAAGATTATCGATGAAATTTATAGAAAATATGGAATGCATAAAATAAAAAAATAAAGAAATTTAAGCACAGAGGGTAAACAGATGGGCCTAGGATCAATTTTAAAATGTGAAAAATTGAGATGGCAATTATTATTTTTCTCTTACAAGTGTTTGTTCATATGCTTAAAAAAAATCTCCATATGGAAGACCATTTGTATAAGCAGCTTGGTCATGTTCTCTAAGTTTTTATTTTGGTCATCATATATTTCTCTTGTATTTTTTCCACTAGTTTTCCATTACCATCCATCAAATAAAGTATTCTTTGCAATTTATTCTTTTATAAAACTGATAATTCCACATATATAGGACTTTATTTCATTCCATATATTGTTAGATGAGATAAAATTATTTGACTCCTCTTATTAAATTCCTCTTTCATATTCCTCATCCTAGTTTATTCCAGTTCAAGATCTCCTGCAAATAAAGTTTTTGTTTCATATTCTCTTTGATCTTAGCTATCCAATGTTTTTTGTGCCTAATTTGATCTTATATCCTGTATGGTTGATCATATATAGTGCTTTGTTTCTTCCACTTGTGTGACATACCCAAACAAGCTCCTTTCCTGTATTCTCTCCACCACACCATCCAGGACTTTCCAATGATTTTTTTGAATTTCCTTATTCTTCAGTCTACATTTTTGAGTCACAAAAATTTTCTAAAGTCAATTTATTTTCACCATTAATAAATTTGCTTCAGCTTTCTCCCCCCAGTGCCCAACATGCATTTCCACACATTAATATTAGAATGGAAGTAACATTAAATTCCATGCTTTAATTTTGTTTTATATGAAGATCTTTTTTTATTTTCTATATTTTGGATAATTTTCTGTGTGTTATTGATAAGATTGTTCATTTTCTATGTCTATTTCATCATTCTGCTCTATCATGTAAGTCTTAACTTTGACAATACAGGTATACCTCGACTTACATCGTTTCGAGTTACGTCGTTCCCGATTATACGTCATTTGTCAAAAAAGTATATGGAAAAATAAAAATCAAGTTTAAGTCATTTTATTCGACTTTACGTCTGTCCGCCACAAATATTGAAGTCGTAATATCACTAGAAAAGCGTTTAAAGTACATAAAATCATATTAAAATATATACATTTACAAGTATGTACTGTATTTACAGTACATGCATTCGTAAATTTAGATTACTTTTTTCTGAACTATATTGAAAACTAAAATTTATTTGTTTGTAAGCTTAAAATAGATCCTTATTAACCATACATTATTAAAAATGCATTAATAAATAAAATACAAAACCAGAATTGGCAATTTATGGTTTAGCCTAGTGACAAGTAGATTTGGAGACAAATAAATTAGACTTACGTCGTTTTTCGACTTAAGTCGTTCTCCTGGAACCAATTACCGACGTAAGGCGAGGTATACCTGTAATCTGTTTTCTTTGATAAAACAAAAATTTGATATATCATATTTATTCACATATAAGATGAAGTTTTTATCCATTTTTCACTGCTTCAAAAACCTAGGTCATCCTATATGCGCGAGCAAAGAATTCTTTTTGTTTTTGTATAACTTTTGTAAACTATGTATTCACATATTTTACCAGATTCTCACTTTCTGGTGTTTAAAAACAAAAGTATTTTATCTAGGTTGTTTGAATCATTCTTGTGTATTGCCAGGAGTAAAGATGAATAGCAATAAAAAAAGCAAAGCTTTTGAATTGAATTCCAAAATTACACAGGAGCCCAATATAAGTTTTAATCCATTCCCATGTGAAAACAGATGATTATTTGGAAATTTGAAGAAATTCATAAGTGTAATTGACGAAGAGTGAATTTGACTGTTAAGAATTGGCAAAAAAAAGTTCCCAATTGTCCAGCTTTTATGTGAACAAATTATGTTGTCAATTTTACAAGATTTTTCCTTGAAGTTTAAGATGACAGTAATTTTTGTGGGACAATGTGTGTATTTACATATTGTTATTTTATTTGTTATTAAACAAAATAAAATTAGAACTGTATTAATAAATCTAATTTTCTTTATTTTGATCTTTAAAGTCACACCTCGTCCTATATGTGAGATCATCTTATATTCGAATAAATATGGTATATTAACTTTATAAATTTCTTTCTTAAGAACAATATATCTATAAATCTTTGATTTCATTTCATTTAAATTTTTCTGTCCTTTCAATTTCTAATGTTTTGGTTATTGCCATATCTAATAAAAGTTTAAATTTAGTTCTTGACTCCATTGGTGTTATTAATCCTTAATTAATCATTTTATTAATACTTACACACTACTGTTTGTGAAAATTGCAACATCATGAAAGAATTATCCAATTACAATGAAATTTATATTGCTCATTACTGATATGACTGTACATAATTTAGGCTGTGTACACACTAGGCGTTCGACGAGCGTTTAGCGGAGCGTGCGCACTGGCTCGGTTTGGAAATGGATGTGGAAGTGATTGCTTGTGTGTGGCTCCTCTATCGTCGCTATAAAAGACGACGGCGGCCCTGTACACACTAGGCGTTTGACGAGCGTTTAGCGGAGCGTGCGCACTGGCTCGGTTTGGAAATGGATGTGGAAGTGATTGCTTGTGTGTGGCTCCTCTATCGTCGCTATAAAAGACGACGGC